TTTTTTTTTTTTAATAATACCTGTAATTTCTGGTATCCTAATTCTGGCAGTCTACTCGATGCATTGAACAATTTGCGTGCTGCTCAGACTGGCTGGAATGAATCCGGAAAATCTCATAAGGTAATTTAAGGAAGCGATTATGGAATACATTAAGGAATTTAAACGGTTGCCATCATTTTATTGTTGTGTGACATTGTCCAATGATACAATAGTTCATTTCAGTTTTATTATTGATGCTTAAAGCGACTGCAAATAAATGTACAGGACATCACACCTGAAAATGAATATGAGAAAAGAGTGTTGGAAAATATCATCCTTCACGACAAAATTGGTGTAACGTTTGATGATATCGGAGCCCTTGATAACATCAAAGATGCCCTCAAGGAGATTGTGATTCTCCCTTTGCAGAGGCCCGAATTGTTCTGCAAGGGGCAGCTGACGAAGGTATGTCTGTTCTTATTTTATTTTACAATCTATTTATTTTTGTGATTTTGTGATATACTAGAGCACTGTTTTCTAGTCTGACTTTCTATTCTCTTTTTTAGAGTACTAATATCAATATTACTTCAGACAAAGCGGAATTATTATTAGTATTAGTATGTTATTTTAATATTGATGATTTTTAGGTGCATGATTTGTGCATCTTTAGCAGTGATGATTTTTAGGTGCACAATCTGTGCATCTTTAGCAGTAGTGATTTTTGGGTGCGTGATCATCAGTTCATCTTTTGTCAGAAGGAAAACTTAATTGATCTCTGTCCCTTTATAGCCTTGCAGGGGTATACTTTTATTTGGCCCTCCTGGTACGGGGAAAACTATGCTTGCCAAGGCCCTTGCCACTGAAGCTGGTGCAAATTTCTTCAACATTTCTCTATCCAGTATAAACTCAAAGGTCAGTAGGTCATTGAAATTCCTTAACCGTTAGGCTTGTGAAGTTACTTGTGCCTAGCATTTTTTTCTTCTTTTTTCACAGTGGTATGGAGATTCTGAGAAATTTGTGAGTGCTATCTTCTCACTAGCAAGAAAGTGTGCCCCAAGCGTTTTGTTCATTGATGAGGTATGGTTATCTAGTCTACTGATGATAGTTTTAAGAAATTTAAACAGTTTTCTTATAGCTTGTTTTACTTAAGGTTGATAGCATTTTCGGGAAAAGAAATGATTACGAGCACGAATTGACTCGCAAGATAAAGACCGAGTTCATGTTGAATTGGGATGGCTTGCTTACCAAGGATACGGAGAGGGTTCTCGTTCTTGCTGCCACAAACAGACCTTTCGACCTTGATGATGCTGTAATTAGAAGAATGCCTCACAGGTAGAAGTTTTTTCTGTTATCCGCATTTTTATCTACATATGATAAATTGCAAACTGCCTCTGAAGTTTAGCCTAATGATAATAAGACCCAGTTATCGTAAAATCTTACAAAAACCCTCCATTTTCAATTAGTTTCACAATTTACATGTGCATAATGGAAGCGTTTCTGAATCTTTAAGGGTGTATATGTAATTTCTTTAGAAAGTCCCTTTTTGGTAGTTAATTAATGTAAAACTTGGGTTAGATTTTTTCATTACCTGTTACTCGTTACCCGCTAATATTATCTTACGTATTATTTCGTACTTAATAGTGACTAAATCTCTGGTTATATACACAATTGTTATTTCATTATAATTTTTTTTTTCTTTTTTTGCAAGATTCATGGTAGATTTACCCGACGCCAGTAACAGATCTAAGATACTAAAAATGATACTGGCAGAAGAAAACCTGTCGGACAATGTTGATTTGAACGCCATTGCTGACATGACTAATGACTTCTCTGGCAGTGATCTCAAGGTGTGTGTATTGAAGTTGAAGCTATATAAAAACTCTAAGCCCTGTCAGACACAGTAACAGAATTCGAGCTACAAGTCAATCATGATTTTTATTAAACTCGACTGTTTGCTGCTCTAGTTCAGTCTCATTATAACGAAACCCTTGCATATTATGGTTTTCTTTTTCTTTCTCAGAATCTCTGTGTTGCTGCTGCTTATGGACCGGTGAGAGAGTTTCTGAAGAATGAAAAGGTTGGTCATTTTGCATACAACAAATGATGGTTAAATATCTGAATATAGCAAGTTATAAGTATCTTTTGTTACATTGGAAAAGTAATTGCTGTGCACTTCATACTACCTTAGACCAAACAAAGATGTCGACACACGTATACTAAATGCACTGACACTCTCAATTTCGCTCAATTTGGACACATTTTTTTGAATCGCACTAACCGAGCACTAAACACACATAACTACCACACCAATATGCTATTCATAAAATATAAAAAAAAAAAAAACGACTACCAAAGCCCCTATATTATTCTTGCACATCTCATCACAAATTTTTGCAATTTAATAATGTGTAAGAAACAACTTGCCTACTTGTATCAACATGTGCCCCATATTTTGAAGCAAGCTTCTATTTATTTTCTACTGTCGATGTTTTAATGTTGGCTTTTTTAACAGGACAAATCTGTAGAAGGAAAGCAAGATGAACTCCGACCTATGAACATGCAGGATTTCATACGTGCCCGTGCTGAGGTATTATCACTCACACACGGCACAAAACTTGTGTTTTTTACTATTGATTTTATTAAGCACATATCTTTTTTCTGTGATGCTCGGAGATGAATTTGATTGGGGGTATTTTGGTAATTAACTAATGCAGATGATGGCGAGTGTGTCGAGTCGATCGAGTAGTGTGGCGGATGTAATGCAGTGGAACGAGATGTACGGAGACGGTATTTCCCGGTCGGCCGCACCTGATCCTCTCCCCAGCTATTTCATATGAATTATGGTATTTCTCTAAGTTCCAGACAGGGAATTGAGAACTTGTGTTACACAGTTACTCATCTGTTTCCCTTTTATGTTTTGCTGAAAGAAAAATAAATGAAATTAATTAATTATTAGACTTTGTGAGTTATACATGAAATTAGGAATAATTTGAAAATGATAGGTGGCAAATGTCACTACTCTCGAACCGGCCTTTGGAAGTTGATTGTGATTTGTGGGTCGGTGGGAGTGACACTGACACATGCTGAGTCCATATGCATATGGCGCCTCGACATCGTCAAAGGTTAGAAATGTTTTCTCTGCATTATAATCATTCCGACATTCTTATATACTTACTGACAAAGAATAAATTGGAAAAATAAAATAATATGCCAATAAAACTAAGTTTTTATATTATTTTCTGTCCAAACTATATTATTTTTGGTCCAAACTATTAATTCCGGACAAAAATTGTCCACCGCCGACCTTCGAAGATTATCCACACACTTCTGATGATTCCCGATTCGTTTTATAAATGGCTCTTCTCAACTTTTCTATATCAAATGTAGGGCTCACGTAATATGCTACACTTTATATTTTAGTATTTTCACCAATCCAAGTGTCACAACTGAAAATACTGTTTTAGTATAGAAAATGTGGGAAAATATTACGGTCCCGTTACGGAATCATCCTGTCGAAAGTTATAACCGTTGGATACACATGTAGTTAGTATAAGATAGATGATTTAACGGTTAAAACTTCCGACGAGATGGTTCCATAACGGTACCATAGCATTTCCCAAAGATGTGTTGCCACAACTTTTCAGTGACTAGTTTTATTTGATAGGGTTGTAGGGGTACCAAATATTGCTTATCTGTGCTTATATGACATGGTTTCGGAATATAATAATCGTATCCGCTCAATAGCATTGAGATAATTATGAAACTCAAAATGTTTAGCTAATATATTAGATTTTTACAAATAAATTAGTCTTAATATTTTACTTACTAATTATTTGAAAATGAGAAAATTTTTCATTCTATTTGTAACTTTCTTTTAATATTTGGTGCACACAGGCCAAAACCTGATATCTGAATTGCTCCGAACAGGATTTGAAGCCGACAATCTCACGAACCATCCTTTAACTTGTGCTCCGGTGACCTGGGATCCCACCAAAAAAACTTCCGACGCTTAAGTAATATATCGTTTGTGAATTCTATAAAGTTGGGATGTACAAGATATTATTATGTGTTGAGTTGTAAACTTGGTAACCTCCTTTTATAGAAAGGTTGTCTTCTCACACACGTAACCATATTACTAAGAAAGAGATTTGCCCGTATTTGTTTCGCAATATAACCCGTCTATGTCATCTTATATTCTTTAGCGAGATACATTTACCATCTGCACCGACCTTATGACTGAGATACCCTACTCTATTAGGTCACTACACGACCTCCAAGTCTTGATGACAAGCCCTCCTTTGACGGAGCTCTTGGCTAAGCTTAACCTACTAGCTTAAGATCAGAGGTGACTTGGTAATTCGATGTCATATCGAGCTCCTTAATAGGATCAAATCCTACTGTCGAGCTAGAAGTTATTCCGAATCAATTATTGTCAGCTAACCACTCTAACCAATGTGTCTACGGATACTATATCAAAGCCAAAAATCTAGTTTTCTTTGGTAACCATGGACACACTGAAACAAGGTAAAAATTGAAAGCAAAAGTTCGGATGTGTGTTATATGTTGATCTCACAATTACTGCCACGTCAATAGTTAATTAACCACTTTTTTTATAATTAAAGGTGGCCTCGTACATGGGATGGATGCCATTTCACATTTGTACAGGCCTTCATGTAAAACACATGTTCTACTTTTTTCAAAATAAAAAGGAATAACTTGACAATTTTGCCGAAAAAATTGTGGGTGGGGGCCCAACCACGCCGCGAAGTATATAATACAAAACAAAAAATTAAAACTAAAATAAAACCAAAATAATAAGTAATAATGATTGACTATCCAATCATGGCCAACTCATTTCAAAATAAAGAAGAAAATGGAAAATAGGAGGCGTAATAAAATAGTTCGTTCATCCACGAGTTATAGATTTGGATAAAAGCAACCCATCAGGAATTGGAGGGCCGCTTTATGTCCTCCGTTGGATCTGATCGACACCACGGCCCATCAAACTCGATTTCTACACGTGTCTTACGTGCTTATCTGGCCTGGCAGATTCAAATCCCATGACAAGTTAGAGCCACGAGAGCCCATATGCCACATGAGACCAATGATTAATATTAGCAAATAATTAATTTGCTGAAGTTGCAATTCCTGATTGCATTCGTTTTAGGACTTGAACGAAATAATTTTTTTTCTTCATTTACCTTTTAATTGCTAATATTTTTTTTTTTTTTTTTTTTTTT